AATGTACAATTTGAACCCATGCCAATAAATGCCAATTTTTTTTCATGCTGTTACATTAAAATCTACTGGTCTGCCTTGTACCAACAGGTCATTTGAAAAATAATGATTCAGTGGGTTTCGATTATGGTTCTGCGTGTCTATATATTATATAAAATAATGTATACTTAACATCACTTAAGAGAAACTTTTTTCTTTTGGTGGAACTGGGAGATTGAACTCTGGCCCTTGTGCTTGCCAAGCAAGCATTTATTCTACTAAACTATCTCCCCAACCCAAAACATCTTTAGACAATAGGAAAAAACCGTCACATTGGAGGCTGAGGGGATTAGCTCAAGATTTCAAAATTTCTAATTTCTGCTTTAAAATCAGTTTAATCTTGGGAAATAGATGCTTTCCAGTGGTTTTCTTTAAAGCAACAGGCTCCCCAGTTTTTGAGAAAAATGTTACCCAGTCTAGTTTATTGGTAGTTCTTTGAAGAAAGAATGAAGCAGAGATGTGTCATTCTAGCCCAGGGTCAGGGGCGCGGCTGAGACAGCCACTGAGACTGGGCGTGATGGTGCACACCTATAATCTCTAATATTTGGGAGGCTGAAAACAGGACAATTACTACACTTTCAATCTGTGTAGTGAGACCCTGTACTACATACATAAAAAAGAAGAGATTTAAAAAGGTTAGTTCAACTTGCAAACTGAAACAACCACATAACTAAATTTGAGTGCTTTCTACTAAATTTGAGTGCTGTCCATTTGCCACACAGGATATTAAGATGTATATTCATGAGTTAAGAGGTAATAAAATTACTATGTTTTACTGTTTCACAAAAATTAATTGAAAGGGGCCTCTTAAAAAATGTCTAAGTACCCTGAGATGAGGGCTGGCCAGAAAGCTCAGTGGACAAAAGTACCTGCTTAGGCAGACAGAGGGACTGACCAGGGTGTGCCATGCTGGCTCTGCTCCTGTGGTGTGTTGAGATGGTTATTGAGACTGGGCATAGTGACACATGCCTGTAATCCCAGCACCTGGAAGGCTATGTGTCCGGTCATAGGATCACTATGAGTCTGGTCTGTGTAGTGAGACCCTGTACTACATATATTAAAAAAAAAAAAA